CTGGTCTGGATGAGGTTTGCTGTTTTCTGATAGCTAGCTGGAGTGATAGCCTGAATTACAAGTAGCTTGTAGAATAAACAGCCTGAGGTATCATTTAACATAACACTCTCATTTTACAGATGAGGGAACTCAGCCCCAGAAGGTGACTGACTCACTCTGGGCCCATGGTGAGTGTCAGATTAAACCAGTGCTTCAGTGAAACATAGGAGCTCTAGACTCAGCTTTCAAAGTCTCTCATGTCCTACTCACATTCATTTCAAGTTAACTTTTTTGTACAGATATAAGAATGGCCTAAGTGGTTAGGTAGGTGAGAGATTATTTTTTTTAAAGTAGATACTTCTCTTTCACAAGGGTATGGTTTTTGATCTTCCTGAATCTTTGTGTGTGTGTGTGTAGACTTTTAATTCATACTCCCACTCTTCTTTCTGTGGTAGGGGAGTTGGGAATGGTACCCTGAAATTCCTGGAGAAGATTAGTTACTTAGGTTCTTGGATAGGAGTGTAATTAGATTTGACTGTATCTAAGGAATCTTCCCTCCCCATCCAGAAAGCAGCAGGGGCTCTTGAAATCTCCATCCAAATGCCATCCTTCTTAATTTTTTTTTTTTTTTTTTGAGACAGAGTCTCACTTTGCATTTTGGGCTGGCCTTGAGCTCACTTTGTAGCACCCAGGCTGGCCTCAAACTCCCAACCACCCTACTACCCTCAACCTCTCTAGTGCTGAGGCTACAGGTGTGAGCCACCACGCCCAGCTTATCCTCCTTAATTACACACTGTGCCCTTGCCTGGGTTTGGGGGTCTGCACCCCCTTGGAGCCATTCATCCCAGACTTGCCCAAAGCCAGATTTAGTGGTTCTGGGAGCTCAGGGGTGTACAACAGTTGGCAAGGAGCACAGTCGCTTTCTGCAGCTCCTGACCTGCAGGAAACATACCCCCAGACCCATAGCAGTCTGGCTGGAGGAGGCAGCTTCCTCGATGCTAAACTCAGAGCCAGTACATGTTCAGCAGTTCAGTTGTAGCTGTCTGTCTGTCCTGTTGCCTGTTGTTTGCCCATTCGCTTAAAACAGTCTGAGGCTTCTTCCTAGGCTGAGGTTTGCACAGAGAGTTTGGTTCTGCTCACAACTCCCCCAGCCGTTCTACACTCTCTGAACAGGGTAAGAGGCTGTCCTGTCCCCCGTGTCTCTTCAGGGGTGGTATGCTGAGATTCTGGCTGTGACTTCGCAGAGCCTTCCCTAGGGCTATTTAGGCGTCTGGAGCCTGTCCCCTTTGCGAGGGTCGTGCAGGGGTTTTTACAGGCTTTTGATATGGCCCTCTCTAGACCCCCCCCCCCCAGAATCACTCAGAAATGGAGTGGGTGCATGCTTGCACAAGGTAGGTAACACCTCTTCTAGAAAAGATAAAGGTGGTCAATTCTAGAAGGGAAGCACCCACCCAGAAGCTCTATGGACATGGGCAAGAAAGAGCTTCTACAGCTGCCATGAGTTTCTCTAGACATTGCTAGCCAGTAGGAAAAGAAATTCCTCAGATTCTAGTTGTTCAGCACTTCCAGAAAGCCCCTCCTCCTCTTATTTTTTGGGTTTTTTTTTCCAGTACCAGGGATCGAACTCATGACTTTGCACTTTCTGGGCAGGCGCTGTGCCGCTGAGCTAAATCCCCAACCCTGAGAGTGGCTTTAGATGGATCCGATCTATATGTGAAGTCTCCCTAGTTTTTTTTCAAGGCCCAGTCAACTTGTTGGGGGCCTGGAGTGGAGATAAGTCAGCATAGATGCGGACCACCTCTGGCTGGAAGGCAGCTTCAGGCTTGAAGATATTCAGGAACTTAGAGCCTGGCAGGGCTAAGTTTTCTTTGGATTTGTTTTTGGAGACAGGGTGTCCATATGTAGTAGAGGCTGGCCTTAAACTATGTAGTCCAGACTGGCCTTGAACTCATGGTGATCCTTCTGCCTCAGCCTCCTGAGTGCTGGGATGACAGGCATTCACCACCATGCCCAGCTACACCTCAGCAAATTTAATTAAATTACAGGTACGGTACTGCAATGACATGAGAGCACAGGTGACCCTAAATGGATGTTTTTGGGACCTGAGTGATTTTAATCAAATAGCAAGTATAAGTTGGGTGTGGTGGCACCTACCTATAATCTTAGTTACTCCAGAGGCTGAGGCAGAAGGATCACAAGTCCAGGCCAGCCTGGGCAAATTGGTAAGACCCCATCTCAAAATGGAAAATAAAAAGAGCTGTGGTGCAGCTTAGTGTCAGTGTACTTGCCTAGCACACGAGAGGCCCTGGGTTTAATTCCTAGTGTGAAAAAGCAAGTATAGTGTGACAGTGACGGAGTTTATGGCTTCAAAACAACAGCAAAACACCTCAGCTTTAAAAAGTGAAGTTATAAATGAATCACTGTGCATCAAAGAAGAGTGATGTGTAGCCTTTCTTCTTCTTCTTCTTTTTTTTTTTTTCTTTTTTGAGACAGGGTCTCACTGTACAGTTCAGACTGGCCCTGAGCTCACTTTGTAGCCCAGGCCAGCCTCAAACTTGCAGTGATCCTCCTGCCTCAGCCTCCCGAGTGCTGGGATTACAGGCATGCGCCACCATGCCCAGCAGCGCTTCTTTTTTAGGGGTTGAATTTTATTAAAATTAGTAGTACAACCCTCAGTATGTATGAAGTAAGTTTCACTACTTTGAAATACTCGTTATGAAAAAAGATGTGAATTAGGAAGTCAAAATCACATGAAATTTTATCAATACATTTGTTTTTAGAAAATTAATCAAAGCTTTTTATCTTTTTTTTGTATGATGGGATTATCTAGAATTTGAAAGATCATCATTAATTAATTTAGGGGTTCTGGGGATTGAATCCAAGGCCTTCAGCTCAGTGGGTAAGGGTTCTAACACTGAGTTATACTCTGCCCTATTGTGGAATATTCTTGGTCAGTATTCAAAGTAGCCATTTCATATAGAAATCCTAGTATTGAAATGTTAGACACGTAGAGGAAGGCTCAAATTTATCATTAAGATTTTTGAAAAGATTCTGTTTGGAAGTTGTCTTACTTTCCTTGTCGCTGAGACGTCTAACACCCACAGTTCAAAGGAGGAAAGGTTTACTTTGGCTCACAGTTTGTAGAGGTTTCAGTCTGTGTCTGCTGGCTCCAAGGCAGGGGGACATGGCAGAGGGGGCTGGCAGAGGAGAAGCAGCTCACCGCATGGCAGGCAGGAAGCAGAGAGGGATCAAGCGGGGAGGAGGGAGACAGACTGTGCTCTCAGTGACCCACCTCCTCTGACCAGGCTTCACCAAGCTGGCAGAGGACTAATCCACGGCTGAGTGTTATACCCTTGTGATCCAGTCACCTCCCCAAAGCTCCACCTGTGAGCGCATGAGACTTTGGGAGGACATCTAGGTATAAAATATGACAGAAGTTTCATTTTGAGCACCTGCCTACAGGAAGTAGGTCTTGCTCCTGGGCTTAATTATCCCCTCTGTACTTCGTTTTGTAAAGAAGAACTTGGCAGCTGGTACAATCAGGTTTATGTATTAGCAGTTAATCCTTATGCTACGCCTTACACTTTCTACATTGAAACATACAGCAAAGCCTTGCATTGTTGCATTTGGGTACCCAAGTGGAATGGCTTCTGGTGTTTTAGGGTACTGAAAACATTTGTTCTTTTGGATGTTTGGTAATTTCATCTCAGAGCTTGCTTCTATTGTGGAAACTATAAAATGATTGAAAAAGGTCTGTAGCAGTCGGTCACAAAATGGTCCTTTGTCATTTGTTTTCTTATGATCTTTTGTCTTTTATTTTATTGTGATCTGTTTGTTCCAACTCTGGTCCTAACTTGTGGGGATGGGAATTAGTTTCTGTGGAGTGGCAATCAGGAGGAATTAATCCCTTGGCAAATATGAATAGTAACTATAAGGATGGTGTTTGACTTAGATCAGCGGTATTGGTAATATGTCATTTATCTCTTGGAGTTTCTATCAACTTATTTTTTTCCCTTCATTTTAGACTTTTAAATGCCTATTTCAGTCGTCATTTAAGAAAGGTGATTTCACTGGGCACAGTAGTGCATACTTATAATCCCAGCAGTCTGAGAGTCTGAGGCAGGAAGATCACAACTTCAAGCCTGGCCGGGGCAACTTAGCAATCTAGTGAATCCCTGTCTCAAGAAAAAATGGCTGGGGATATAGCTCAGTGTATGTAGCTTAGTGTGAAGGCCCTGGCTTCACCCTGCACCCCCCCCAAGTTTTATTTATTAGAAATCTAGTATTTTATTTTATTTTTTTTGTCTTTTTTTTTTAAATTTATTTTTTTATTTTTTTGTCTTTTTGAGACAGACTCTCATTGTGCAGTTCAAGCTGGCCTTGAGCTCAGTTTGTAGCCTGGACTGATCTCGAACTCGCAGCAATCCTCCTGCCTCAGCCTCCCAAGTGCTGGGATTACAGGAGTGCGCCACTACACCTGGCCTAGTCTTTTATTTTATGGACTAGTTGTTTTGCGTATTACTTTAAAAACAGTTTGGGATGTGATTTAGCAGTGAAGACATTGTATAGGGTGGTCGAGAGAGTGTGAGGCTTGAAGTCAGAAGATCTGATTTAAATCTTAGTTGCAGTTTCTTTGAATACATTGAATTTTTGCACTTTATTTATTAATAAAGAGGCCAAAATGACACTTGTTTTGTTTACCTTCCAGAAATATGAGAAAAAAGTGAATAGCAGTGACTTATCTTGGGTAGGACTGTGCATTTCTGAGCTTTAATTTTCTCATCTTTCATATGAGAAAGCATCGTCTAGTTCTCAAATTTTAGTATTGATTCTTTTTTGCTTAAAGCAGTTGCTGAGCATTTCTAGAAATGTTTTCTTTTTTTTTGTTTTGTTTTTTGGTTTTTTGGTTTTTCTCCGGTACCAGGAACTGAACTCACGACCTTGCGCTTGCCAGGCAGGCGCTTTTGCCGCTGAGCTAAATCCCCAGCCCCCTAGAAATGTTTTCTGCTTGGAGTGCTCATCATGTGAACCCTGTCTGTCCCCTCAACAGGCAACGGCACTGGTGCAGAATGGCTGACCTCAGTCTTGCAGATGCGTTAACAGAGCCACCTCCAGAAATCGAGGAAGAGATCAAGCGGGACTTCATGGCCACCCTGGAGGCAGAGGCCTATGATGATGTTGTCGGGGAAACTGTTGGGAAAACAGACTATATTCCTCTTATGGATGGTGAGGAGAAGACTGGGAACTCAGAGTCAAAGAGGAAACAGTGCATGGATACCAACCAGGTTGAAGGTTAGTATTTGAACCAAACTGTACATGTATGTTCAGAGAGGAGATTGGAGGTTATGCTTTGTGTCATAGTCTTAAGAACCCTGAGGAAAATGAGTGGAGTTTAAGTTTAGGTTAATAAGAAACCAAGGAGATAATTCAACTACAGGGTGGTGAGTCTGCCTATGAGGCTGTAGGTTACTTTTAATTCTCAAGTTTCTTCTATAATGTTTTAACCACCATATAATCTTAACTTCTCTAAATTGTTTTTTAACTTCCCTAAATTAAGATGCCTACTGAGCCTTTTCTTGGAAGTAGTTTTGGGCTGGGTGTGATAGTGCATGTCTGTAATCCCAGCATTCAGGAGGCTGAGGCAGGAAAGTCACCACAAATTTGAGACCAGCCTGAGCTACATAGCAAGACCCTGTCTCAAAAAAAAGTAGTTTTGTAAAGTTAGATACATAAAATTCTGTACCTACATTAGAATTTAACTAAAACTGGAATCATTTCAGAGCAGGATTAAAACATGAATTAAAGGTTTTCAGAGGTTTTCTATCTTCACATATCCTGGATTGATTTGCTATTTGGTTGAGAAGTTTTACATCTGCATTCTTGAGGAATGTTGGTCTTTTATTGTAATGTCTTTGGTTTTAGAATTGAGGTCATGCTGACTTTGTAAAATGAGTTGGGAAAGTATTCCTTTTTCTGTTGTCTAGAATAGTTAGTATACAATTGATTATTTCTTTGATATTCGATAGAATTCATCAATAAAACCATCTGTGATCTGTGTCTAATTTTCTTTGTCATACTTTAAACTAGGAATTCAGTTTATTTTTATTTTTTTGTCCATAGTTTCGAGACAGGATTTCACTGTGTAGATTAGGCTGGCTGTTGCTGAATGGGATCTAGTTTGATAGTGTTCAGGTTTCTGTATCATTTATGAGAGAGAAATATTGATCTATATGTCATTTTTAAAAAATCTATATGTCATTTTGTGGATTCATTTTAATTCTCCCTTCAGTCCTATCGATTTTTTGTTTGATGTATTTTGGAGATCTATTGCCCCATATATATATATATACTTTTCTGCAGGGGTGGGTTGTTGAGGCAGGGTCTTGCTGTGTAGTTCAGACTGATCTTGAACTTGGAACTCCATAGCTCAGGCTGGCCTCAAGTTTGTGGTGATCTTCCTGCTTCAGCATCCCAAGTACTGGGATTCTTGGCGTGCACCACCATACCTGTTTCAGTGTCCCATGTGTATGTTTTGAGTGTCACATCTTCTTAATTAAAATTGACCCTTTAGTGGGCTGGGGATTTAGCTCAGTGGCACAGTGCCTGCCTGGCAAGTGCAAGAAACAAAACAAAACAAAAATTGACCCTTTAGACATTCTGTAATGTCCTCTTTTTTTCTTGGTAATCTTGCTCGTGCTGCAGTCTCATTTATCTTATGGTTTTTTTTTGTGTTTTTTTGGTCTTTTTGAGACAGGGTCTCGCTATGCAGTTCAGGCTGGCATTGAGCTCACTTTGTAGCCCAAGCTGATCTCGAACTCACAACGATCCTCCTGCCTCAGCCTCCCAAGTGCTGGGATTATAGGCGTGTGCTACCATGCCCGGCCTATCTTATGTTAATAAAGCCATTTCATCTTCCTTTTTTATTAGTGTTTGTGTGTCATATCTATCTGCATCTTTTTATTTTTGTACCTATTTCTTTTAAAATATTTAATAAATGTAGATTTCTTATAGAAAGCATGAAGGTGGGACTTTTTTTTGGTCTAGTCTGAGACTCTCTGTCATACTATTGGTGTATATATAGGCTATTTACATCTTTCATGACTATTGATATGGTGGTGTTAAATCTGCGAATCTTGCTATCTGCTCTCTTCCTTTTGTTTTCCTTTTTGTGGTCCTGGGGATTGAACTCAGGGTCTTACACATACTCTAGGTAAGCACTCTACCACTCAGCTACTGCCCAGTCCCGCTAGTTATTCCATGTGTTTTTTAATCCCATTTTTCCTTGTGTTTGCTTTGGAATTAATGGAATACTTTGATGATTTTATTGTTAACTGCTTCAGTGTTGGCTTGTTACAGTATTTCTTTTAAAAATTGTATGTGACCCAGAACTTGCAGTGTACATCTTTAATATCTTCCCAGTTTATCTTTTAGTAATACTGTAGCACTTCATGTACTGTGAAGTCCATGCAGGGCCAGGTGCATTGGTGCACACCTGTAATCCCAGCTCCTTGGGAGGTTGAGGTAAGAAGATTGCAACTTTGAGGCTAGCATGGACAATTTCAGGAGACCTGTCTCAGAATAAAAAGAGCTGGGGATGTAGTTCAGTGTTAGGTCACTTGCCTAGCATGTGTGCTGCCCTGGTTTCATTGCTTAGTACAGGAAAATAAAAAAATCCACACAAAAGTTATCAATGTCCAATTTTAGGTTCATTTTTTATTATTTTCTTACATTTGATTTTATGTATGTTAGCAGCCCACAATTTACTATGGCCATTTTTGCTTCAGTTAATCAGTTTTTAGTTTTTTAAACCTTATACTTTTATTCATACTGCATAAAAATAACAAGAAAATGTCTTTTGCTCTAAGAGCTAGCATTTGGCACTCTGCATTTCTTTGTGTAGGTCCAGGTTCCATCTAGTACCATGTGCTTTTTGCCTGAAAAACTTACTGTAACATTTCTTAAAACATAGAACATAGGTCTGAAAAACAACAACAAATTGTAGGTCTGCTGGCCTTAAGTGACTCAGCTTTGGTTTGTTTGAAGCATACACATTCAGTTTTGGAAGGTATTTGGGCTCGGTCTAATACTCTGTGCTGACCCTTTTTGTTATAGTGCAGTTGCTGCTTCCTACTTTGAGAGCCTTTTAGCCCAATAAACCCAGTCTTCTCTTTTTTTTTTTTTTTTTGGTCTTTTTGAGACAGAGTCTCGCTATGCAGTTCAGCCTGGCCTTGAGCTCACTTTGTAGCCTAGGCTGACCTCGAACTTGCAATGATCCTCCTGCCTCAGCCTCCTGAGTGCTGGGATTACAGGCGTGTGCCACCACACCTGGCTAATAAACCCATTCTTGAGTTGAAAACATTGTATATTGAAAATGCCTTTTTCTTTTCTGAGTATCTCACAGTGGACTGTGAAGTGTTGACCTGTGACTGATGGGGAACCTGCGGCCTGCTGCCATTGTTCCTGTTGTAAGAGCTTCTGGTACTGTGTATTGCCTCCCTGGGAAGAGATCAAAACCTGAAGTACAGTTCCTATTGAGTGTGTTTTTGTACCATCATACAGTTGAAAAATTTCGGTTGGACCACCACTGTCATCAGCTGGGGACTCTGCGGTTTAGCGTCGCTCCGTGCCCTCTTAACCTGCGTAGTTTCTGATGAGAAGTGTGTTGTGATCCTGTTACTTTTATTCGTCTGGCTGCCTTCAAGATTTATTTTTATCTTTGGCTTCTAGCTGCCTGACTGTGTTGTGTTCATATTCTCTTTGGGTGTTTCTCTCCTGGCTGAGGTTCTCCCACCTTCTTGAGCTGTGCTACGGTTTGGTTCATTAGGTTTGGAAAATTTGGGGCTATTTTAAAAAAATGTTTGTACTATATTCGTTCTCTCTTCCTCTAGAATTCTAATTAGAATTTTTGTTAGATTATTTATATTGTCCCCAAACCCTGAGATGCTCTAGCCTTCTCCCCCATTTCATCTTTGTTTTGTGCTGTTGGAGCTTTTGCTTTTTGGTGGTACTAGGAGTGGAACCTGAGGGCCTGTAACACTGAGCTTTATCCCCGGTCCTTTGTAGTTTTTATTTGGAGACAGGGTCTCCTTGAGTTGCCTAGTCAGGCCTTAAACTTGGAGTGTTTCTGCCTCAGTCTGCCAAGTACTGGGAGCACAGGCATTCACCACTGTGCTTAACCATGGCAGTTCAAAAAATCTTTAATATCTGTGCTTTAAAACATTTCTAGCACTTCTGTTTGAATCTTTTCTATATTTCCCCATCTTTTTGCAGAATTTCTCCATCGTTTTCACCTTTTCTACTATAGATTTTAACATAGTAAGACTAGTAAGGGATGGGAGACTGGGAGAAAGAGCTCAGAGCTGGAGCACTTGCCTAGTACGGGAGAGGTCCTGGGTGTTTGATCTCTAGCAAAAGACACATACACACACGAATCAGAATTACTTTAAATGTCTGTCTGACAGTTTGAGTATCTTGGTCTTCTCTCACCCTGGCTGTTTTGTTCCCATTTTGTTTTGTTTTTTGAGACAGGTTCTTGCTTGATAGTCAAGGCTGGTCTGGAACTCAGTGTGTAGCCCAAGCTGGCCTCAAACTCAAGATGATCCTTCTGTCTCAGCCTTGCAAATGCAGGAATTACTGTGTGCACTACCACACCTGTTTTGTTTTTTAATAGCACTTTTTCTCTAGCGTCTGTGTGTGTGTGTATTCACATATATGTGTATCTATACACCTCTTAGTTTTCTGGGTCTCAAGTCTGCCAGACACAGGGCGTGTCTGTTGGATTGAGTCAGCTTGTTGCAGACCCCGAGGTGGTTTTGGGATGTGTTACTGTGATTGCCCTTGGGCTTTACTTCTTGCCTTAGAGTAGGGAGTGAGGCACTGGAAGGTGTCTTCTCATTTCCATTCCGAAGCACTCAGGTTTGGGTCTTGTATGCCTCCTTGTCTCCGAGGAGGCTCTTGTGTTGCCTCCCCTTTCTCAGAAGAATGCCCGTCTGGTGGTAGACAGGGTTTTTTTTGTTTCATTCCCTTTCCTGCTGTTTGTACTCCATCCTGTGTGCCTGTGTGGCTGGGTCTTTGCTCATGCTGTACCCCACAGGGATAGGGCCTGCTGTGGGTGCGTGTGTGAAGAACCAGGGCCAAGACTCTCCCAGTATTGCAGGGCATTTTTCTGCTCTCCAATTTAATGAATTTTTGCCAGACTGATACGTTGTGTATTTGTTTTGTTGGACAACATTGTAAAGATGTTTTTTCTTCTGAGCTCTTCTTCACAAATGATAGAAGAGCGCCAGACTTCA